GTGGCAATTATTAAGTGCAAGGGACATCAGAAAACAAAGAATCTGATAAACAGAGGTAATAATGCAGCTGATTTGGCTGCCAAGGTAGCAGCTGGATATCAGGTAGCTCAGGGAGCTATGAAAGGGATCCAAGACCTAAGGGGTCAGAGCTTTGGAAGCTCAGTACGGAAATGGATCCTGGACCAACGAGGTCAGAGCTTTGGATGCTCAGTACAGAAATGGATCCAGGACCTAAGGGGTCAGAGCTTTGGAAGCTCAGTACAGACAGGATCCAGACCTAAGGGGTCAGAGTTTAAAGAGCCTAGGACAGGCACTCAGGAACCAGAAGGTCCAGCTCAGGGAGCTAAACAGATGATTCAAGACTCTGCAGAAGGGGGTCATGTTTGTGAGAAAGAGCTGAGCTTGCAGACTATTAGGGAAATAGAGAATAAAGCTGCTCCTACTGAAAAGCAGGTGTGGCTAGGCAAAGGGGTGTCTAAGGATCAGACAGGACTGTGGAGAAACCACGAAGGTAAAAATAGTAGCCCCGGCAGGACTACTTAGTTTGCTGTGTCAAGAGGCGCATGGCAGAAGACACTGAGCGAGCTCCAAGATAAATAGTCTGATCTCAAAATTGGTGGCATCCGCATTTGAGGGATATCACCAAGTACTTTGTTGCAACATGTGAGACGTAATCAGTTCAACCCCAGAGCCGCGCTGAAGGTGGAGCTAGGGGGATTTCCAGTTCCTGATGCTCCCTGGAAAGAGATTGTTGTTGATTTCACAGATACTGGAGCTGACTAAAGAGTTGAAGGAAAACAATATTTACTTGTCTGTGTGGATCCAGTTTCCAAATGGGTAGAGGCTGTACCCACGAAAACAGAGACAGGTAAAGAGGTAATGAAGTGGCTCACTAGGGAAGTGATCCCCCGGTTTGGGGTACCTGAGATTATCAGATCTGATAATGGAACAACCCCTCTTCAAACGTTGATCTTCGTCTGGTTGAGCAGATGTTTGGGATAAAACATAAGTTTGGGGCTGTCTATCATGCAGCCTCTCAAGGGCTTGTTGAGCGTGCAAACAGAACTATAAAAGAAGGGATCGCGAAAGTCTGCGCAGACACTAACTTAACCTGGGTTGAAGCTCTACCTAGTGTATTGTTCAACCTCAGGTCCACTCCGAATGCAACGCTTAATGTAAGCCCACATGAAATCCTGACAGGGAGGAAGATGCCCTGTCCTCTAACTGTTATTCCTAAAAATTCAACACCTCTTCTTTTGCAGCATGCTGACATGAGTGAGTATGTCAGATGATTGAACAACGTGGTGATGAGTGTCTTTGAACTGGTTATTGAAATCCTGTGCAGGGACCAACCTTAGGAAACAACACCAGTTGCAGTGGACAGCTGGGTCTATCAAAAAGTGCATAAACTTCACCCTTATAGGGTAGCGGTAGCTACCACACACACACTGTGTTAAACTGTGGCTCACTGAGAACAAGTTAAGTAACTGGATCCATAAGACACATTGTTCTCCAGCTGAGGATCCACTGGACAGACAGTGAATGAGGTCAGGGCTGATTTAAGAAGCTCATTGCCTCAGTTGATATACAATCCTGTAAAAACAGAGCCACAGTTAGAAGAGGATCTATACTAGTATAATATTTATCAGAGACCAAAAACGTTGACAGGGACAGGAGACAAAATGCCTAGTCCGGCAAGTTTAGGCAGTTGTCCTGGTATGGTTCTCTGTGTACTGGGCCTCATTAGCCTAGTTATAGTGATACACATATTTTGGTGGGAAACAAGGTCCCACATACACCATGAGAAAAGAGGTAATGTCCTGGTTCCACCAGAGTTGGTTTTTAATTTGGGTAAAACTTCCACTTTAATGGTAGATGCATTTGACATTCTTGACTGCTCTGGGTGGCCACAGCAAGAGCAATTAAGACAGTTTGATAAATACATTTGTATACTGTTCTATGTCCGTTTTAATGTTCAAAGTCTTACTAATTTTACTAATCTCACTAATCTCACCAGAGATTTATTTGATGGGTTTCAGGAGCAACTGGCAGCCACTTCTCTTATGCCGTATCAGAACAGATTGGCATTAGACTTCATTCTGGCTGAAAAAGGGGGCGTTTGTGCTATGATTGGGCAACAGTGTTGTACTTACAGCACATTCCTAATAACACTTCTCCTGATGGCTCCATTGCTAGGGCCCTGACAGGGTTAAAAATCTTATCAGAAGAGATGGCTGACCATTCAAGAATTAAAAATTACATAGATGATTGGTTTGATAAAATTTTTGGCAAGTGGAAAAATTTTGTGGTTTCTTTGCTTACATCTTTTGTGGCAGCAGTTACTTTGCTGACCCATTGACTCCTGCCTATACCAATCTCCATGAGAAACTATGCCCATGATCTCACTGACTGAGCCCAGTGAGTCTGAGATTGAAGAAGACCCCTCAGACGGGAAAGAAGATCGTGACCTCTCTTCATACTATTGGTAAGGGTTAACACATACCCACATATATTCTTGCATACACGTAGGTGGTGTGGACTCATAGGTGTGATTGATTTTGATTACTGGGTAGAATTTTGTGATAAATGTGTGATACTGGAAGAAGATCTTTAGTCTCCAGCATAATGGATTCCTCCTGCAAATGTTATGATTAACCAATGATTGTTTGCTACATGTTGTTTAGACATTTTCCACGTTTTTGTCTGAAAAATGCTATAATTGCAATGAATACTCAGCTTTCACATAGCAGCTTACATATAAGACCACTTCAATGAAGAATCAGCTTACATGCCATTGTTTTATGTTATTATTTCAGATTTTGCCGTAGGTACTCAGCTCTGGGCTTTCCTTGGAGGGGGTGGTAAGGGGGGCTGTCACTCTGATGAACACTTAACCAACGACGGTATGATTGAACAATAACCCTCAGTGAAATACCTGTATATATACATTGTACTGATTATACAGTCTCGTACAGGTCTCTGGTTTTAAGTACTCTATTTTTATCCCTATTTATCTCATTTCAATGAACATTCCTTTGTTGTCTGCATTGTTTACTGTCTGTGCTGCTTATTCTGCATTGTTTGCACTGTTTGTTGCTGTCAATACTGCTTATTTTGTTGTATTACACAACCTTATGCTCTTTTACTGTTTGCACATTGAGAGCTGATGTACCAGAGTCAAATTCCTCATGTGCCCATCACACCTGGCCAATAAAACTGATTCTGATTCTGATCTCAGCGAGACTCTCCCACGACCTCATGAAGAGGAAGGTCCGTTGTTAGATATTAACTGTGTGAGACATTGCAACTTCAGGCATTAACACTTCACTGTGCACACAAGAATGTATATTGTAGAAAACACTAGTATCTTTATACACTATATGGAATATTAAGGTTGCTATATGATTACAGCACAAGCACTGTTTGGAAATCCTTATCTTAATATGACACTGTTTTGGAAATAAAAGTGTGGCCTTCATTTGGTCATAGTATGTTCACTTATGTACTTATGGGGAAAGTCTCCATGTATAGCCTTCACTACATGGTGTGTGCTTTTGAGGAGCTGCTGCTCCAGGGCAGTTACCATGGTTACGCTGTATTAGACTGTTTGAAGACACTGTAACTGAAAGCACCAATATAGTCTTATGCACTTAAATGGAATGTAACTTTCACTGAGTTTGAAGTATGAGCACTGTTTTATAACTGAACTGAACAAGAATGTAACCTTTAACCATGTTTTAATTAACTACAATGTGTATCCACTCTAAACACTGTGATGTGCTCATGAGAGTGATGCTCAGCACTGCTTCACATGGAGGGAGTCACAGGAAGGAGCAGAATGATTGAAATCAGTGGACATAAGATGTCTGGCTACACTCCACTGTTTTACATTTAATGAACTGATAAGGACAAGTTTTAACTTTCTCAGCATTACTGAGTGTTCATGTAATCATTATGTGTATGTGTGCCTTTGATCACAGAAAAAGTACCTTGGTTTTAGGGAGGAAGACTTAACTGTCATGAGAGAAGCACTGTGTATGGTGGGATAGAACTTTGGTTGAGTGTTGATTGATCTCAGCTGCATCCTAAGGAATGTAAGGAGGCGGGAAGAATAGTATATAATACACAATGTTAGAAAGATCAGATCAGATCTTGGCTGCTGCTGCCTGTGATCTCCAGATGCGCATCTGTGAATAAAGGTAATTATAATAAGTGCACTTTGGTATTTTGTGATATTCTGTGACTGAATATTCTGTCCATCATCTGGAATCCGATGAGGAAGTGGTAGACTTCCGACACCGTCTATAACAGAAACCATCCCTACAGAGCAGGCTCAAGGCGGTTACAGTGTTCATCTTAGGAGTGTTACTATACCATTTTATTAATTTTTATAGCAAGAAAATAACAATCAAGTTGTCAGATATGTGGCCAATCAATCCTAGTAACACCCCACTGACAAACCAGCCAGCTCTACTTAGCAGGCAGAGCTGTAGCATCGCCCTCGTCATGTTCAGTAACCTACAGGCTATCAGAAAAGACGTCCGACGTGGCGGTTCACGTAATGTAACAGTTGGTAACAATGGCTTGCGGCCTCTGTCACCATAAACTTTACCCTCTGTAAAACACATGAGAGAAGTGTCACCTACTATTACAAAAGAATGAAGAACAAGCAACTGGTGTCATCACATTTAAACTTCCGGGTTTGTCAGTAGCAAGATCGCCACAAAGTAGTGATGAATTTCTCAGACCAACTGGTCTTCAGTGTTTATGTTTGGTATCACCTCAGCTCGCCTGCACCCGCAACAGAGGTGATAGCAAAAATAGTACCAAGTACTATCCCCAACATTTGACTGATATAAAAGCAAATAAGGTGAGTAGAGTCAAGTCAGGCTGAGCCAGTCCCAGGCGGTGGAAAGGGGGCTTCTCTCAGGCCGTGGGCAGCTCTCGGTGCTCACCGAGCAAACTGGGCTTATGTTAAACAAAATGAACCAGAGACCAACCTTAATAAGCAGCTCCAGCACTGGAGTCCTGCATTTAGCTACTTTATCCTTTGTGTAGACAGCGATGCAAGTGTCCTGCAGTGGAAACAATTGAGAGAACAAACATCATAATTATTTTGTGGACTGTGTCATAATGTGTGTGCTTTGACTATTGTGAACAAATCCATCCCGATCTGTAAAGCTACTGCTCAGACACTGGAACAACCCTTATTTTTAATTAAACATCACATCATTATTTATTCATATTCTGGTCATACATTCATTATGTAACTATAACTGTCCAGGTTACGATGAGCATGTCATTTTTATGAGCTTAATAAAGGTTTTCCACCAAAGAGGGTCGCTTGTGTCCTTGCTCATGCCTCCACCATGCAGCCTCCTCACTCTTCAATCCTCTGAAATAAGGGAACTAAAACATCGTCCACGATGGAGGACCAGAACAATTCCCAAGTCACTCAAAGAGCAATTTGAAATAAGATAAGTCAATGAGAAGCAGCCAGTGAGACTAGTTATGAACTAGTCAGTCCTAGTTTTACCTTGAGTACATGAACACATCGTTATATGTAATTCTCTTTAGCTCTAACTTGAAAGGTTTCACTTTCCATTGTACACAACCGGTGTCTAACTGGTATTTAATTGTATAAAATCCTAAACATTTATCTTTGTAGAACAACAGAACTTACTCGTATGTCAATGGCATAAGTCTTCTCCCAGCCTTTGACTCCTGGTGAAACCCTGTCCAAGAATGCCTCTAAAAAACATATGATCTCCACTCTGGTGTCCCGGAGCTGGAAGACAGACGTTTGTCTCAAATAAAAACTTTTCAGGGTTCTGGATTATCATTTGTTGACTGTTCTTTACACCTACCTCATCTAACTGCATGGACTTCCTGAGGAAGCTGAGCAGTCCGTAGTCTTTGGAGAGCAATAAGGAAGTCTGTAAAGCTTCAGGAGGCAAAGACAGAATTATATGACATTTTTAATATTTATTATTTGGGATGGGACAATATATTAAAATTCAATATATACAAAAATGTCACAATATGTATTGTTTTGTCTAGTAATATATACAGTGGTGTGAAAAAGTATTTGCCCCCTTACTGATTTCTTATCTTTTTGCATGTTTGTCACACTGTAATGTTTCAGATCATCAAACAAATTTAAATATTAGTCAACGATAACACAAGTAAACACATCATGCAGTTTTTAAATGAAGGTTTTTATTATTAAGGCAAAACAAAATCCAAAACTACATAGCCCTGTGTGAAGAAATGTTCGCCCCCCTGTCAAAACATAACTTAACTCTGGTTTATCGCCCCTCAGTTCAATTTCTCTAGCCACACCCATGCCCGATTACTGCCACACCTGTTCGCAATCAAGAAATCACTTAAATAGGACCTGCCTGACAAAGTGAAGTAGACCAAAAGATCCTCAAAAGCTAGACATCATGCTGAGATCCAAAGAAATTCAAAACCAAATGAGAAAGAGAATAATTGAGCTCTATCAGTCCGGAAAAGGTTATAAAGCCATTTCTAAAGCTTTGGGACTGCAGCGAACCACAGTGAGAGCCATTATCCACAAATGGCGAAAACATGGAACAGTGGAGAACCTTCCCAGGAGTGGCCAGCCGACCAAAATTACCCCAAGAGCGCAGCGACAACTCATCCAAGAGGTCACAAAAGACCCCACAACAACATCCAAAGAACTGCAGGCCTCACTTGCCTCAGTTAAGGTGAGTGTTCATCACTCCACCATAAGAAAGAGACTGGGCAAAAATGGTTTGCATGGCAGAGTTCCAAGACGAAAACCACTGCTGAGCAAAAAGAACATAAAGGCTCATCTCAGTTTTGCCAGAAAACATCTTGATGATCCCCAAGACTTTTGGGATAATACTCTGTGGACAGACGAGACAAAAGTTGAACTTTTTGGAAGGTGTGTGTCCCATTATGTGTGGCGTAAAAGTAACACCGCATTTCAGAAAAAGAACATCATACCAACAGTAAAATATGGTGGTGGTAGTGGGATGGTCTGGGGCTGTTTTGCTGCTTCAGCCCCTGGAAGACTTGCTGTGATAAATGGAACCATGAATTCTGCTGTGTACCAAAATATCCTGAAGGAGAATGTCCGGCCATCCGTTTGTGACCTCAAGCTGAAGCGAACTTGGGTTCTGCAGCAGGACAATGATCCAAAGCACACCAGCAAGTCCACTTCTGAATGGCTGAAGAAAAACAAAATGAAGACTTTGGAGTGGCCTAGTCAAAGTCCTGACCTGAATCCAATTGAGATGCTGTGGCATGACCTTAAAAAGGCAGTTCATGCCCGAAAACCCTCCAATGTGGCTGACTTACAACAATTCTGCAAAGATGAGTGGGCCAAAATTCCTCCACAGCGCTGTAAAAGACTCATGGCAAGTTATCGAAAACGCTTGATTGCAGTTGTTGCTGCTAAGGGTGGCCCAACCAGTTATTAGGTTTAGGGGGCAAACACTTATTCACACAGGGCTTTGTAGTTTTGGATTTTGTTTTCCCTTAATAATAAAAACCTTCATTTAAAAACTGCATGATGTGTTTACTTGTGTTATCTTTGACTAATATTTAAATTTGTTTGATGATCTGAAACATTACAGTGTGACAAACATGCAAAAAGATAAGAAATCAGTAAGGGGGCAAATACTTTTTCACACCACTGTATCATGAGGTCTCCAAAAACCAGTGAATTTATGTTTTTTGTAAATACAATAGCCTAACAGATCATAAGTACATATTTCTGGTTGTTCTTTACAGAATCAAACCAGTGGTAGAAAAGGGGAAAACCAGAGGAATAAATCATCAGTACTCCGGCAGCTAGTCATACATTTGTGTTACTGAATTTTTAACTGTATCGTGACTGAATCAAATCATATACAATACATCGTGCATCAAATCGTATCAAGAAAAAGTCACATCATCCAATCCCTAATTATTATTACATAATTCTTACTAGAATTGCAACAATTAGGTTGATTAATCGATTTGCTGATCATCAGAAAATTAAATACCAACTAATTTGATAATCAACCATTTCATTTATCAACCAAAAATCGGTCTTCAAGTCTACAATCAATCTTTACTGCTGATACAGTGCTGCCAAGTATGGTGAGTGGCAGTAAGGTGGGAGGGTTCTTCCTGAAGGCCACTGTCATCTCCACTGTTTTGAGGGTTGAAAGATATTACCCAGTCCTTTTAACCAGGAACTCAGAGAGATGAAGCGGACCACTTGGATATATAAAAAATAACCGTGCTGGTTTATTCAAAGGATCACAGGTAAAATTAACATTACACGTCCAGATCTCTTCCACCTCCGACCTGCACGCAGGCAGACGAAGTATGAAAGACCCTGAACCATAATGCCTATACAATTTTATCACTTGGTTGGTATAAGCTCTGTTTTTGTACAAAGCTCCTTCCGGCTCTTTTAAACCAAAGCTCCTTCCGGCTCTTTTATTATTGTGTGGATGCGTATGCACTACTACTATAAACTATAAATATTTCAATTATAGATGAAATTGTCATAAGGGTTAATATTTGAAGTCATAGTTTATTTAAGTGGGGTCTCATTCATGGAACTCAAAGTCTTCAGCATATTCAGGGCGATCTTTCAGCAATTCGCATCCACACATGCATTTTCGACAGGAAATGCAGTTTTCTAGTTATTCTTATTATTCTGGTTTCTTCCATCCGATTTTTGGCACAATTTTTTCAGCATACTTTCAGCTATGAAAACCATTCAGGTATCGACATGTTCAGCTTTTTAAGGACATTTATGCTATTATTTTTCTTGTTTCTAACCTTTATACTTTTTAAACTATTTAGTGTCTTTCAGCAAAATTTTGCCCATTCAAATGAATGGGGAAATTCTACTTCAGCATTCTTTCAGCTATTTCAGGTATCAAAATGTTCAGCTCCTCAAGGACATTCATGCTTCTCTTCAGGATTTTTGTAAACCTTATACCTTTGAAATATTTAGCTTTATTCTGAAAATCTTGCCCCATTCAAGTGAATGGGAATATCCTACTTCAGCATATTTTTGGCTATCAAAATGTTCAGCTCCTCAAGGACATTCATGCTTCTCTTCAGGATTTTTGTAAACCTTATACCTTTGAAATATTTAGCTTTATTCTGAAAATCTTGCCCCATTCAAGTGAATGGGAATATCCTACTTCAGCATATTTTTGGCTATCAAAATGTTCAGCTCCTCAAGGACATTCATGCTTCTCTTCAGGATTTTTGTAAACCTTATACCTTTGAAATATTTAGCTTTATTCTGAAAATCTTGCCCCATTCAAGTGAATGGGAATATCCTACTTCAGCATATTTTTGGCTATCAAAATGTTCAGCTCCTCAAGGACATTCATGCTTCTCTTCAGGATTTTTGTAAACCTTATACCTTTGAAATATTTAGCTTTATTCTGAAAATCTTGCCCCATTCAAGTGAATGGGAATATCCTACTTCAGCATATTTTTGGCTATCAAAATGTTCAGCTCCTCAAGGACATTCATGCTTCTCTTCAGGATTTTTGTAAACCTTATACCTTTGAAATATTTAGCTTTATTCTGAAAATCTTGCCCCATTCAAGTGAATGGGAATATCCTACTTCAGCATATTTTTGGCTATCAAAATGTTCAGCTCCTCAAGGACATTCATGCTTCTCTTCAGGATTTTTGTAAACCTTATACCTTTGAAATATTTAGCTTTATTCTGAAAATCTTGCCCCATTCAAGTGAATGGGAATATCCTACTTCAGCATATTTTTGGCTATCAAAATGTTCAGTTCTTCAAGAACATTCATGCTTCTCTTCAGGATTTTTGTAAACCTTATACCTTTGAAATATTTAGCTTTATTTTGAAAGTTTTCCCTGATTCAAATGAATGGGAAGATTTCAGCATACTTTTAGCTACTTCAGTTAGCATAATGTTCAGCTCTCTCAGGACATTCATGCTTCGACTCAGAATTTTTTTACACTTCACACTTCTGAAATATTTAGCTTTATTTTGAAAATTTTCCCCCATTCAAAATAACGGGAAATTGTACTTCAGCATACTTTCAGGTAGATACACCTTACAGGTGTCAAAATGTTCAGCATTTTCAGAGCGATCCTTCGGCACACAGCATCCACACGTATTTTCGACAGGAAATGCATTTCTCTAGTTCAGACATTGTTCTCCTGCATACTATTTCGCCACCAGATGGTACTAAACCGAGCCTTTGAATGAATCAACGAATGCTCGATACAAATGATGAAGTGGTTCGATACAGGTGTCATGGTGTCAATTGGACATCACTACTCATTTTCTTTGTTATATATAACAGGGGTTTATACAGTTGGTCAGACAAAATAAGTTGAACATTTTATAGTCTGCACACCTAGTCACTTAATTGGGAAAATAGCTACTAGATCAAAAGACAATAAAAGTTGTTGCCCTTCTCCTTACAATGCAGTGCATTCATCATGATACCAACGTAACAGTCTGCAGAATACCAGTGAATTTAAAAAATAATGACATACATGACATGTACAATATTAAAGCTTCTGTTACTGCGCCGCTGGCATCTAGACACTAGGCTGAAAACAGCAGTTGGGCAGTCAGGGGAAGCATAAGAGAAGAATTTGTGCTTTAGAGTGCAGTCTATAGGCTCGATAAGGATTTATTAGCAGAAACTGGCTGTAGTGTGCACAATTATACATTCATTAATGTGTAATGAGATGATAGTGGACATGAGGGAGAGAAGATCTTATCAGCGACTGTTCATCTGGGGGCTCGAAGTGGAGAGGGTGAGCAGCTTCAAATACCTGGGTGTCCACATCAGTGAGGACCTCATTTGGACACTCCAAGCCTCCTGAGGAGGCTGAGGAGGTTTGGCATGTCACCTAGGCTCCTTTGCAACTTCTACAGCTGCATTGTCAAGAGCATCTTGACCAGCTGCATTGCTGTCTGGTATGCCAGCACTACTGCTGTGGACCACAAGCGCCCGCAGCAGTGCTCTGCAGCAGGTGGTTTGGTGCCTACTACAGCAGTGGTCCCCAACCCCCGGGCCGCGGACCGGTACCGGTCCGTGGATCAATTGGTACCGGGCCGCACAAGAAATCATTAATTATTTCCGTTTTATTTATTATCTGAGTCTGAACGATCTTTTATTTTGAAAAATGACCGCATTCTCTCGGTTACATCTCAGTCACTTGAGCCAAAACTGGCTTACTTGTGCGACATATTCAGCCTGCTCAATGAACTCAATCTGTCACTTCAGGGGAAAATGACAACTGTCTTCAAGTTGACAGATAAAGTAGCTGCATTTAAAGCCAAACTGGATTTGTGGGGACGGCGCGTCAACAGAGGCATTTTGGACATGTTTCAAACATTAGCGGGGATTTTGGGTGAGACTGAGCCAGAGCCTTCATTCTCCCAGCTGGTGCACGATCACATGTCTTTGCTTTTAAAAGAGTTCGAGCGCTACTCCCCAGCCACAAAGGACCCACGAACTGCCAAGGAAGGGATCCGCAACCCATTTGTCAACAAACCAGGTGAATCCAGCAGGTCTGTGCAAGAAGAAGATCAACTGCTGGAGATCGTAAATGTCGGCGGCCTTAAAAGTATGTTCGAGACAACAACTCTGCCGGTGTTCTGGATTAAAAATACCGAGATCGCCACCACAGCACTGAAAACCCTGTTGCCATTTCCGACATCCTATCTGTGTGAAGCGGTTTAGATAATAGAGAAAGAAATGTGGAATTGCTGGTTCTTGTTATTTATTTATTTTTCCACGTGAATTTTTTAATGATTTATTTAGGGGGCAGGGAGGATGTTACTAGAGACTTTGAGACTTTATACTCATGTTATGTTGTTGGCGCAATGTTACGAGGAAGCTGCTAATAAAGTTGCATACGAGTACACAGTGGATTCACGTTTATTATTATATTTACATATTTACAATATAAACAATCTACGTAACCCCCCCGGTAAAATTGTCAAGCGTTGACCGGTCCGCAGTGATAAAAAGGTTGGGGACCACTGTACTACAGGACGTAACGTGCGGGCGCCACAGCTCAGTAAGGTTCTGATGGAAACCTTGAGCGTCCTCAGAGACTCGCAGAGATCTGTGAGCGTCCTCAGAGACTCCGTTGGGGTTTATACTGTGTTTCACTGGGCGTTCTGGCGGCTCATATCATACAACTGAATAGGCTGCAGACGTTACTGAAACACCCCGTTTTCTGCACAACTAAGTGATGAGTTGCTTCTAAAATCCACAGAGCTCCTCGTCCTGCAGACTGCAAACACTAAACTGCCAAACTAAAGGAGTCTGACACGGACATGGTCCCGAGGAGAAACCTACGGGAGGATTTGACGGACTTCCGTGTCTCTTACCAAGTTCACTCTCGTTCGGCGTTGGAAGCCACTCTTGTCCCAGGTCACGCACAATATCGTGGCATTTCAAAGCTGCAGCTCGAGCATCTTCGTCTGAAAGCGACTCGTGAAGTTTTAAAAGAAGAACGTGAATCCCCGCGGCAGCGCTACTGTGGGAGGACATACCTGAACCAACGTTACGCTAACATCAGCACTAGCTAACAAGCACAGGCAAACGACTGTTTCTGAATACGTACAAATCCAATTGTTACTTTGGCAAGTGCGAAACACGTCCTCTTCCTCTCCTCTAGTCGTAGTTCCTCTTCTTCTCCTCTAGTGTTAACGGCGGATCGCAAACCGACATAAGGTTTCTGCCGCCACCTACTGCACCGGAGTGTGTCATCTCAGGATTTTATGTACATCAAGTAAAAAGAACCGATATCTTTCTTTCTACACATTTTTAACTACACTACTAATCGAAAGTTTAAAAACACCTGCATTTTCCCAGCTGTTATTTATGTAATTCAACAGCCCAACACATTTCTTTTACAATTAACATCAGATATTGTTGGGGCAGACAGCAAGTTGGAAGGTTGCCTTGTTTTCACTCTTCACCTGGGAGGTTTGGACAATGTGCTGCCATTCCATCATTTGAAGCCGACCATCTTGTTCTTTCCTTATGCACAGCCTGGACATACTTTTTTACATGCATCCTGTACAGGTATGTGCCAAAAAATTAGAATATCGAGGGAAAGTCCATTTATTTCAATAATTTGTTTCAAAAAGTGAAACTTGTATGTTATATTAGTTCACTGCACACAAAGTGAAATATTTCAAGCCTTTATTTGTTTCAATTTTGATGATTATGGATTAAAGACAAAAAAAACCCAAATCCAGTATTTCACAAAATTAGAATATCATGACAAAGTTCAACATTGTAGGCTCCCTGTGTCCCATTCTAGTCAGCTAATTAATGCAAAACACCTGCAAAGGTTTCCTCAGCCTTGAAATTGTCTCAGTCTGGCTTAGTAGGCTTCAGAATCATGGGGAAGACTGCTGACTTGACGGTTGTGCAGACGACCATCATTGACACCCTCCATAAGGAGGAAAAGTCTCAAAAGGCAATTGCAAAAGAAGCTGGATGCTCACAGAACGCAGTATCAAAGTATATTAACAGAGTGTTAAGAAGAAGGGAAGAATGTGGCCGGAAAAGGTGCAAAAGTGACAGGGATGACCGCAGCCTTGAGAGGATTGTCAAGCAAGGGCGATTCAGAAATCTGGGGGAGCTTCATAAGGAGTGGACTGAGGCTGGTGTCAGTGCATCAAGAACCACCACATACAGACGTCTGCATGACATGGGCTACAGTTGTAGA